GCTTAATTTACGGGATTAACTCGACAGTGGACATTGATGTTCTAAGACAATGCTGCTATTATTATTAGATTTCACATTGTTATAATATGCCGAGCAACGATCTTAGACGATTGTATGATTGGGCTAAGAGAAAAAAACAGCAAGTCAAACTTGGTCAGTATCGAAGAAGAAGATACATGCCTATTTAAATTTTGTTAATGTCTTCGTTTATGGGGTACCAACCAAACCGATAATATACTCTTCTGCAAGGGAACTCGTAACATTTCTAAGCTGATACCACACACTTTTTTAGTATAACTATTTAGAGATGTACGACGCGAACAGACCAACTAAATTAACGTGCACAATATTTAACTACGCGATCGAGGGCGCACCACTTGGTCACGTCTGTCGCAGTAGGAAAAAACACCACAAAACGCCGATCGATTTAGCTTTCGGCTAGATGCTCATTTACCGTAGATTTCCGATCACGTCCTTACTAGATGTAGTTGTTTGGCTGATTTTTCGCGCCCAATCAATGATATCAATCCAAATTAGGGGCCAGTAGGAGCAACAATTGACTGTTTCCTAGTCAAATCGGACCTCAGTCTTTTTGAGAGTGTTGGAATATGGTTGGAACCACACTTTGTTTCGTCCGACTCTTTTGTACAACATTATATGATTTCATCGCTATACGCTACCGTACTGAACACTGTGGTAGAACCCCCACCATAAATACACACAGGAGGTATATATTGCACTTCTTCTCCTTAAAAAAATTAAACATATTTTCTCCTTAAATAGGTCACATTTCGCATGTAGCATCAATTATTCTTAAGACAATAGGCCTATTAATGGTCTGTGCAAAAACGGACAATTCCCAAAAAATCATCTCGCCAGATTGTGAACAGTTTCAAACGTTTCTCCATATCGTTTTGAAATGGTTGGAAACGTCAATAATTTTGAACAAACAAATAAATACCATCCTCAATGTGTGTTTGGATATATTAAACGACGTTCGCGTATGGCCCAGTACATGGCAAAAATATACAGGCTTGACGCTTCCTTGATATAATGGTTGCAGGCAAAACAAAACCCATTAATTTACAAGCATGTTTCAGCTTTTCCATTTACTGAAACTATTTTGTATCCTCCCTCTGCTGAGGTAACCCCGCCCCCCGTTTTCTGTCCACCACTTAGCCAGGTTTAGCTCCGGATGTGTCGGTAACAGAAACTGCCCATTACTATACCGCGAGTCCCCGATGACACGACGGTGGATTGATGACTGTGTACACACGCACCGTGTACTCGGTCACCAGCAGCGCAAAGAGCCCATATCTTATACCGGTCACTCCAGGGAGGAGCGTAGCGCACAACGCACGCTTGATGCGGCGGGTTACGAACCGTCTCCCAGCCCCAGTAAATCAGTTTTGTAATACTCGCACTCGTACTTGAGTTCCGTTTTTTTCGCACTCGTACGCATGAGAATGTACTCGTAATCGTACTTGCAACAACAAAAATACCTGTACATGTACTCCTTTTACTCACTACAAAGAACTGGTACTCATATTCATGTTCCTCCGCCTGAATTTATTGTAATTTTTTTAGAGGTACATATTTTATGAAAAATAAGGTTTTTTTAATTTAAATGCTAATAATAATAATTATTTCCTTATTTCGACATGTAATCATAAAAGAGACTAGAATTCCCTTACCCGTGTCTTAAAATTCCTCGCCTTTGTTTTCTAAAATGTCAAGAAGCCGTCTAAATTTTAAGTCGCTCTTGTTCGTGGACTCCCCAGAGAAAAAAAGAAGGTTGCTCAGGCCGGGTATACGTGACCGAAGCACGGTTTGGCGGGTAGAACGGGCCTAAGTTGCCGATACTCTACGGTTTTAATCACAATTTACCCGCGGTCTGTTTTTATTCACGAACGGTAGAGTGTGCGCCAGGCGCGTCGGAGAAACGCCAGCTCGGACGTGTCTTATTCGCGACCAGTCCGCTCCAACAAACCGTCTTCTCATTAGAAGTGGATGGATTGTAAGGAGGTAGTCTGCCTACATCTAACGGATTATTGGTGGGATAGGTGCTCCTCTGCCATCCACTAGACCCTATTAATCAGTAGTCCAAGGTCTTGACTTCTTGTAGTCTCGGAGACAAAAAAGTCTCGAAGATGGAAAAGTGGTTGGGAACAATAAGATATTCGCTGGGCCCATAATTTGAAGGCAGAGCCGGGCGGCACGCCCGCTATTGCATTGTGCTGTGGTTATTACGGAGTGTATAGTGTCACGTTGCGTTATAATGCGGCCTTTTGTTGAAACGCACGATGTAATTGACGTTAATGGTTCTCTGATATTATCCATTATTGGGTGCTTGACATGTTTATTCGGACATTGCTGATCGTTCCTGATATAACTGAGTTGGGCTTTAATCAGTTTGACTCGGCTCTGGTGGTTGTGCATTTCTAGTTTGGTGGTTGACGGCTGAGATAATGTGGTGTACGGTTGTGATCCTGTGGTCTGGGGTTTGAACCATGTCATGGGACCACGGTGTCCCCGAGCAACATGCTTTACTGCAATCGTTTTCTTTCCAATCATGAGAAAGTCTGTTACCATAATTAAATTGGTTATTGTGTAACACTGGCTCATACACTCTTTTAAATAAAGCTATATTGATTGTAGAACGTGCAGTTTTGGTAATCAGTTTAAAAAAAATAATATCATGTAGTTCTAGTTGATATATGACCAGAAAATCAACAGTGAAAACTAAAACGATCGAAACTAAAGCCTTTAAAAAACTTGGGAATCAGTGAGTGTTTTTGAAGTTTTAGTTAACTTTTAAAGATAGAAAAAAAGAAGACATATAGCAATACTAGATGTATAAGGTTGATTTATTTTCTCGGTAAAATTTTACCAAACACCAGTTCAGTAATCTAAGGAGATAATTTTTGTTAATTCCAACTTCCTTCCGATCGCGATTTGGCCGGCCGGTCATAAGTTTTCAACTCCTCGATTCAGTTATCATAGCCCCACCTCAAATCTACTCATCCCGTTTTATTCTCTTTTCCCCCGCTGGAACTTCTTCGTCTCTTTATACGAAACGTGGATGAAAAAGAGATGCAGCTCTTCCTCTATATCCTTTCTTCCTTTTCAATTTCTTGATTACATCTTCTTTCTCAGTCCCGGTTTAATGCCTGCCATCCCTCCGTAATTTCTGCCCTTTTCCGCTTCCCACCACGCTACAAGATTCGATTTAAATAAAAACCGGTGGCGCTAAGTACGAACCATACCTGGTTGATTTACTCAGGGGTTTTTGCCTCGGAAAACTTATCTCTCCGCGGCCGGCGGAAGGTAAAATTTCATATTCCAATCAGGGGGCCCTATCGAATTGAATTACATATCTCTTTGATTTCTCGAAAAAATGATTGGACAAACCCGACTGGTAATCAAATATTACGTCGGCCTTTCAGAGACGTGGGAGAAACGACGGCGATAGAGAGACGGCAAAATTGAAACAGTCGTCTTCTCTCTCGGTCGTCATATGCGTTGTTTCCCGCGCAAAACAATAATTTGACAAATCACTCCCAATGGCGCGTGAGATTTCTTGTGTCTTCTTCTGGTGGGAAATATAAACAGAATTTCATCTCAGCGCTGCGTGTTTTATGATTTTATTTTTTTGCTTTTGGTTTTTTGGTGATTACACTACAGGCCGCGCTTCGTATTGTCGTATGGTGTAACTTAAACTAATTTCGATTTTTGTTTTCTGTCTGGGCGACCGATGACCAAAAAAAAACGGTTTTGATTATTCGCCAACAAAATCTGATTGGAGAACAAAACGGCCTTAGAGACACGAAAGGTAACAATTCTTGTAATTTTTGAATGACCAAGGTGAGGTTTATTGAGGAGCTTGACATGCTGCCTTTGTTGTCTGTTACTTGTATCTAATCAATTGTTTTGAGTCGTCGGCGGAACTTAATTTAGCGACCTTCAATCCTCCTCGCGGCGAAACAAATCAGAGACAACCGATGCATTGAAACAATTTGTTTACAAAATTGATTTCATCTTTCACTTGGCGAAATAAATTGAAGGCTACCCCGTGAGAGGACATTGGTATTTGGTATCATCACAGAAACTGGACCAAATATTCACGACACGGCTGTAAGAAACTCGAATGGTCTTTTTTACCATCTATATACGTTTGGGATTGGACTAAGCATTCTCTTACAATTACACGGCCTAAAACCCGCTTTCTTTGGTAGAAAATGATGCATTTTCAATTAGTTTAATATCTATGTTATGTTGTGTTGTCGGAAAAGTTGGCCTGTATGTAGGCCTACATATATATATTTAAAGGAGGTTATGCTTTCATCGGATTTGGTTAGTTTGTTGGTTGGTTGGTTTGTCTGTTAACAAGATAACTCAAAACGGTATGGACGGATTTGCATGAAAATCTTTTTAGGGGTGGTCATTGGTACAAGTACAAATCGATTAGATTTTGGAAGTGATCCGGATCTGGGTCTGGATCCAGGATTTTTTCGAAGGATTCTTCACCATTTATGCGAGTATTTGTACAGACAATGAGGCGGGGAATTGTTTAGCCTTGGCGGAGGTTGGCGCTCTCTGAGTGCTTTCCAGTAATATAATTGTATTCATTTATAGAAAAAAATCTCGAAGACACCAACCCATATGCACATTAAAGCTTACCTTACCTACTTGCAAGGCACAAGTTTTCACTTGTCCCAGATGGCCAACCCCTTTGTTCATGACTAACTAACCCACTGACTGTCTGTAACTTGTAAGCCGGGCAGTGTTATCGTATAGGATTACCCCATAATGCAAGTGAATAGGCTAAAACCGGCCCATTGCGTAGACCAGGTGTATGAAAAGATTTCCCATGATCAACCATTCTGAATCAATTGAATAAAAATCCGTACACTCTGGGGCCAGCTTTAAAAGGTTTTCCTTGTCTTGTGTAATAAGGAAGTCTAACGATTTCAACTTGAAGACACAGAAGTTACAGAGGCAGGGAAAGTGTGCATTTTGTATTAAGGCTTTTTGGTGTTCTCCGTTTTTGCAGAATGCAACCCAACGGGGGATCGTACAGCCCGGCAGCTTTGGGAACGATGGGGGCCATGTACTACCTGCACCAGCACGCCCAACAGATGTACCCGAACCATCCCCCCTCCGTGCCCGCACTGACCTTCGCTGAACGCCTCGCTGGTATGTTGAGTCTTACGTTAAAACCTGTGTGGTTCCTTCGCTGGTGCCCACTGATAGATTTTGTTTAACTGGTGACAAGAAGTCATAGTACCGTTCAATAATCATTGACAGGTCGTTAAGTATACCATCGAAGTCTGGTACCCTATCCATATTAGATCAAGCTGAGCTTACTTTGATATCAACCCGACGTAGAAACGTCACCACAATAATTATGTCGACCACATTGATGTATAGACCTTTCTATCGCCGACGCGTGGTTGGCACATTTTGACAACCACGGGTTGCTAAACTATGGAAGGTCCAACACTGCAAAAATGAAAAATTATTAATGATTTCTTTCGAGTTTACTTTTTTTCTGAACATAATCCCCAAAGCTCAATAGCAATGGGTTTCGAAAATGTCTGCACCTTTATATACAGTCCTTGGAATTAGTGTGACAATGTGCCTCTCTTGACGCGATGTTTGAAAAAAATCATTATCGATTTTAACCCCAGCTGTCTGCTAATCAGATCCTCTTTTCATTTTGTGTCCAACGAGGCGCCGATTTGCTTCAAGTTCATCAAAATTAAATGGTTTTTACCAAGCGGCCATCGAGGTCACAATTAAAATCTTTCGATGACAGTTTAATTTTGTCTAATAACTCCGAGATTGGAGCGGGCTATGATTGTTCCCTTCCCCGGGGCAACCAACGCCATGCCATACACCGGCACCCGTTCCCCTATTCTTCTTCAATTTTTACTCCCAAATCGCTTTATTATTATCATTTCGGTTTGTGTGTCAAAAACTCGTCTTATTAGACTATCTCTTCTTTTGTGGCGGAACTCTTTTCAAAAGGGCGGGGAAGTGAGTTAAAAACGGCGCTTGGGCAAGCGTGCGCGCGCTCGGGCCTACCGGGGCGCACGCGCGCTCATCCTCCCGATCATTATAGCTTAAAAAATGGCAATCCCTGGTAAAGACAGGACTTCATCTTTTGCCTGAGCCTATTGTTCTGGATGTTACATTTGTCATCCCGACACGTGATTTGTGGCGTCTGAGGGACGAAAAAAGGCGGGAGATTGGTAGGGGATGTGACTATTGTGTTGTGATTTAGCGCGGGTTATCGGGATGGGGATCGCACGCGGTATGTTGCCGAGCGATTCAAAGGTACGCGTGCAACATTCATTGTGGTCAAACCGTGAAGCGCTTGGCTGATTTTGAATGCAAGTTACCTCAACTTAATCATGTCAGATATCTCATGCAGATATTTGCTACACGTTATGAGACTGTTAGGAGGTATTCTCCATTAAAAAAATATTGCCACAGTTTGATTTTTATCCCGTTATAATGTCAAGATTAAGCGTCGGTTTTCATTTTTTTCTTCATATAACATTAAAGAGTACTTAGTCGCATGCATGCGAATGGTATGTGCAGAGCCAACCTCGTTTCCATGCTGTCGAGCAGTGCACTCCCAACACTACCTGCACATGCAGGAAAGTTAGGAATAGTCTGGTGCCTGGCTGTGCTTCCAATTAGTGTTTATTTTTGTAAATACAGAATCAATTCGTAGCAGCGTGAGATGCGAAAACTCAATTGTCTATAAGTTAAAACGTTACTATTGGAAACGAGGTTGAAAGTAAAGTAAGACCTGGGGACAAGGTTCGTGCACAGCCGCGTTGACAACAGCTGGTATTTGCAAGTCCCGTGGCGTCAGTTAATCGATTGAGGGCGCACCTATAGGGCCTATTGCAGACTACCCTCCACCGATCAGATCACAATGTTGAATTGCCAGAGCTTTGGCCTGATAATCATGCTGGCAAGAGACAGTTCAATGCAAAAGAGATTATCTGTGAGAAACCTCTTATTTTTTAATGGTTCAGATCGAATGAGGGCGCCCTAATTGTCAACATAATGTGACATCTGTGACGAGTTGACCGATCATTGATGTACCAAGAACGCGTGTCAATTAAGCAGTCGTATCCATTAGCGATATCGCTTGGTGGTCTTTCATCATCTCGTCCCGAATTAATATGTATCTCCCCGCATTCAAATCATCACTCAGCGAAGAAAAAAAATCAGAGAGAGAGAAAATGGTTCGCTATAGGCCTATACGACTGATCTTTGAGAGAAAGACTGCGAAAAACGGGTGACAATTTGATCATCCGAAGGCAAATCAAATTCTGGCAACGGGAGTCCCTCGTGTGTCCGGATCGATCCGCGGAAGATAGACCGATTTCCAGCCCGAGGCTATGGTGTAAACGGCTGTTCTATGACTGAAACAGTGCAGTTCCTTTATAGGTCTTTTGATGTGGTTAAACGTGATTAAAGTTAATTGGCGCATTATTATTTTGTTCATTGTCGTCAACGGTCAAAACCCGAAATTTCACAGCCTTTATATTTCAGGTTTATTTCGAAGTGTTTTGTTTGTCTTGTCGAACTCTGGATTTTTCTTGGCTTGTAAATTTTTTTTCCACTAAATCAATTTATAGCCACAACAGGAAAAGAGTAAGTCTGAAAAGCTGGAATCTTCCAGTGTGGAAATTCGACGTTGTTATTGGCATCTTATATGTGCTGATTTGTCCACACTAACGTCGCCATCTTGAAGCATCTGGGGCAGGGAATTGGACAATATGTCAACCTAATTTCACCAGCTCGGCACATCAGACAGGCATGATACTTCAAGTCTCCGAATTTTGGCAAAACCGAACAAATATAGAGTGTCTTAGAAGTTGGAGGGATACATTGCTCTTAAGACAGTAGCGCAAAGTCAAAGCTTAAGTGATAGCACAAGGCGGCCCAATAGGGATAAAAAAAAAGATTCCAGCTCACGATGATATTGGATGACTTTGATCGGACAGTAATATATTGACTTGTGATGGCTTGATTACTTCCAGTTCGTGTAAAAAAGAGAAGTAAATCATTCTGGTGTCGAAATGGGAAAACACACGTAAATATTTTACATTGAACCGAGCATTGCAGAAAATAATACACCAAACATGCTTTGCGTATATCTTTACGGTTGCCCTGTACAGCAAAACTGCTGTTATTGACAGTCGGGAACCTTCAACGATTGTCACAGGAAACAGACGTCGTATGTAGGGTGTTTGTTGGAGATAACCCTTCAAGTGTCTCTGCTTATGCTATTTCTATCGGTTATCATTTCACGCTGAATGACATTTTATCCCGCGATATGTACTTGTACAAAAAGGAACTACTCTAAAACCCGCCGAGGTACTCTACAGTGCACCACAGGCTTCAAAGAAAAGGAAACAGTTATATTTTTCAACAAAAGTAAAAGAAACGGCAGACAAACTATGCTTGTGCATTTGTCCAAACTGAAAAGTTCTCCAGATCGCATACTAAAATGTAAACAAAAAGAAAATCATAACACACCAAGTCTTAGTTCGACGAAATCCCATTCGAGTAAATAAAATCTAATCATCATAAAACCTTTTGTATTTATCATTAAATTTTGATATCAATATTTTTTGAGGATTTAATGTTTTTTCCCCTGTCTATTCTTTTCTCCCAGATTTCATACTTGAGGCCCGCTATGGCGCCCACAGGAAGCAACGGCGCAGCCGCACTGCGTTCACCAATCAGCAACTCGCCGCACTGGAGAAAACATTTGCCAAGACACATTACCCGGATGTAGTCATGAGGGAGAGGCTGGCCATGTGCACGAATCTGCCGGAAGCCAGAATACAGGTGCGAATGGTGTTTGCTATTCTTTGTTGTTGTTGTTGTTCCCCTATCAGGATAATGATAACCAGAGACCTTTTATATCATCCAGTCAAACAATCGAAGTTCCTGGGTGAACAGAAATCATGTGAATTTCCGGTTACTGTTTATTACAAAACTCATAATGTCGATTCATTTCTGTGAGCATTTAGCACAGACAATATATTGCTCAAAGTTTCCATATTAAAACCTACGATTTGAGAAAGGAATAGGCGTTCAAAATTTTACATTAGCAGGCAATATTATTGTACAACAGTCCATAAACATGTACAAGCAACGCATGAGCCATAAGTGTAAGAAGTGACCGTTTTACAAGAAACGATTACTTTACAAATAATTGATAACGAGCATAGACAGGCCTCGTTATTGCAGTATGGTATTGCAGATGTGTCTCTGCGTGTGGTTTGGACAAAAAGGCAGGGTACTAGACAAGTAAACAAAAGATGGTCTGTTATTTATATTTCGTATCTCTAAGAGCGGAGGAAAAATGACAGGATAAAAATTTAATTGAGACATTAAGAGGTAAACCAAAGTTGAAGGAAAAATTGATTTTTTGTTTTACTTTTTAATTTTAGGTCTGGTTCAAAAACCGCCGGGCCAAATTTCGCAAACAGCAACGCTGCAAGTCCTCGCCAGGCGACAAGAACGGGGAAGCCGAAGGTAAAGAAGGAGCCAAGGAGCAAAAGTGCGATGAAGACGGTGCCACTACCACCACGGCCGAGTGCCAGATTGTAAGGGCCGACGACGCGCTGAACGGTACCACCGCTGCCGCCCGCTCGCCTGGTCATACCGCGGAGGGCGGGAAGTCCGAGGAAGAAGAAAACATCCCGTCCTCGAGCTCCAAGGAGCGGGCACAAGATGCCGACGGAAGCCCTCCTGGAGAAAGAGGGAGCTCCTTGGAAGAGTTGGTGGTAGGTGGAGACAAGGACTCCGAAGACGAAGATGAAGATGAAGGTGAAAATGATGAGGACGTTGTGGTTGATGAGGACAAGGAAGAGATTGAAGATGTCAAGGATAACAGGAGTGATGTGGAATCCATCGATTCCAAGTCCAACCAAGAAGGAGGAACTGAAGAGGAAAGAAAGGTTGAAGTAACCTCAGATGACGGTCTGAGAGCATCGCCCGTCAGGAGTCTCAGCGAATCCAGTAAGTCCAACTTATTTCTTTATGAAAAGAAGGTTCTTTTCAACATAATTTACACATTGTAATAATCCATCACAGGTCTATCAAAACTCCATCACAAGTCCATCACAAGTCTATCACAAGTCCATCACAAGCCCTTCACAAGTTCAATACAAGTCAATCACAAGCCCTTTACAAGTCGATCACAAGTTCCTCACAAGCTTATCACAAGTCCGTCACAAGCATATCACAAGTCTATCACAAGTCCATCACAAGTCCATCACAAGTCAATCACAAGTCCATCACAAGTCCATAAAAGTCCATAAAAGTCCATCACAAGTCCATAAAAGTCCATCACAAGTCCATCACAAGTCCATCACAAGTCCATCACAAGTCCATCACAAGTTCATAAAATGACTTGTGATGGACTTGACGTCTGTGTTCTGTCACTAATTTGTAGAAATAATGTAACTGCGCTTGTCCCGATCACTTTTACGCTTTTTGAAAGTACACATAAAATTGACTTGACCTATGGCTTATCTAACCGATCTTTTTTTGCCAGGGGTTGAGCTTTTTATCATAATACCTTCTCGGGAAGTTGATACATGCCCCCTTTTTAAAATAAATCATATCTTTAAGAAATTGTATGTTTCAAAGATAAACCTGAACTCGTCAATTGTTTTTAAAATAGTAATCAATACCTGCCTTTACATAAAGTGCTTTGAAATCACTCGAACGCTTAAAGGTTTCGTGTCTTTGTTGCATATTTACACAGCACAAAGGCACGATTAGGCTCTGTCAATCTCATGATAAGTGGAGAATAGACTAAGCATCCACCAGCTAACACTTTTCTGTTCAGGAAAATTAATGTTTTGCTCTTTATGTACACATCGAGTTCTTCCTGAATTTTTTTTTTGTGGGGGATTATGAAAATATACCCAAGGTCAATAATGAGGCACTAGGCGATTCTTTTCTTTGAAAGTTACGAACCACGGTTCTTCATCTCGCGGAAATCCATTCGGGCGTTTAATATCCGTCTTTTGGCAGGATTGCGAGAAAAAAAAAACCACCAAAATTTGAAGCACTTTGGAGCGCGCCAGGAGGAATCATTATTACTGTTTCCGGAAGGAAACTGGTCTTAAAAGAAACACTTGATGCGGGCAAGTGAATATTATTTGTGCTTTTGTGAGAGTCAAGAATCGATGCTGGTGGAGTACCGTGTCTTGGGCTGAGCGACGGTGGGAATGGTCAGGGGGCAATTTTCTTGTCTTCCCGTCTGACGTTGCTGTTAAATTTGCTACGATGGATCGGTATAAAGCGGTATTGATAGTTATCTCCGGGTTTTTTTTAGGTGTAAGCTAGCGTGTAATCGCAAAGCCTTCGGGGGAATTCGTTCTTATGAAAAAGATGTGGATAGGCCGTCATTGATTGTAAGCGGGGATCAAAGGAACTGCGTATAGAGAGAAAAACGGTGGATGAAAGAGGGAAAAGAAAAACAATTTGTCCGCGAGCTGTTTCACCGCGAGCCAGGAAATTCTGAGCCGTGCAATTTGCCTGTACCGCCCGGGGTTATTTTGGCCCGAGCTTTGTCCACGCTGCGCGCCCGTCCGTAGGGGGCAGGAAAACAAGACGTCGGCAGAAAAAAAGACGTATCTTGCAGACTAATCGACGGAATAACTCGAGGGCGAATCTCCCGTCATCATTGAATCATAATTTTCCTTTCTTCCCTCATTTTTTCCTCATTTTTGTGCCTTTCTTTTCTGGGCTTCACAATGGACGGAATTAGACAGTAAAAAGATAATAATGCTGAAGGTTCGTTAATTTTTGTTTGGCGGTTCTTATCTGAAGGAGCCGGAACCACGCGGGATCTGTTGTGATTCAGTCAGGGTCTCGAGTCTGCAAAGATTCCCTTTCACCCGTTGTTTAGCTTCCGTTTAATTCTTGAATTGAAGAGACAAAAAATCAATTTGATTTTCATCTTTCGGAGAGCAAAACCCACCGTCTAATGACCTATCAAAGAGTAATCATCCTTTCTATCGTCAAAAGAGTCGAAGTGTTTTCCTAAGAATAAAACGCTGCGCACAGAAGCCCTGACATTTTGCATAAATGAAGTCTGTTAGGTGAATGAACTTGTTATTGCAATGTCAATAATACAAATGTCACTGACTTCTACATCGAAGATAACTTATTGCATCTTTAAAAAAAATTGAGAAAAATATAATCTTCTTGAAGCGGTGAACGATATTCAAGATTGACTTTTTGAGAAAAAAAAGTTCATGTGCCGAACGGTTGTTTATTTTTAAAAACCAAAAAAAGTTTGGAAATGATTTATTGTCGGTGATAGACCGATGGACGACCTTTGCAATCTTGTCACGTTGATTACGAATTCACCTTTCTCGAGTGTTGCACGCATGACGTGCGCGAGGAGCATCGTAATTCAAGATCGGAGCCTCGGGAACTTGACGAACCGCGGAGAGCGAGTAAAAACACCGTGAAATGAAGCCGCTGAAGCGGGCCTCTCCAAACAGCCGGAATCGCTGACTATCGCCGTCTTATTCGAGCTTGGTCCGAGCTTTGCCTGCCACCCCGTGCTTTGCTCATCAGATTAGAGCCTTTCTAATTGGAAAATTACTACTCTCTCTTCTCCCTCTGTCTTTTTTTACCCGGTGTCGTCCGAGTGTACCGAGGCTGAGAAACGGCCGTGAATTCATCCCTGGGATGGTGCCGAGATAATCAGTAGATTGGAGGGGAAGAAGTCAAGAAATCAAGGGGAGGTTTGCAGAAGAAGCGGGTATAGCGAGGCCCGTGCCCCGGGGCGCGTTACCCGCTCGCTTGGCCGGTCCTACGCGGTCCCCGCCGGTGATCGGTGATTTCATTATACGGCCGGTGAAGCCTCGCGATTCTCGTCCTGTAGCCGAACCCTAATATCTTCTTTGCCTTCTTTTTTTGATGGCTTGGAAATCAGGAAGTCTCGAAGTTTTAGTGATTGTGTCATTTACAAAGAAATCGACAAATCCAAGATCCGGTGCAACCGAGCGTATGATGAATATCTATGACTGCAGACAGCGCCTATGAATTTAGAGTTGGATTGTCGCGAACACCTTCAGGAAACTTTAAAGGGGAATCCAGTTTTGCAACAATATTCGTTTCCTACTCAAGTTTTGATGGTGGTGGTAGGGGGGGGGGGACTATAATCCTCTCTGTAACTGACTGACTGACTGACTCATCCACTGACTGTAATTTGTGGTGTAGACTTCCTAAAGTCTGACCTTAGTTCAAATATAATATGACTATACCCCGGACGTAACACCGTTCCTGATTGCGTGTTTTTATCTGCAGCACACTTCGTCAAGGGATATCATGATTAGTTCAATGTTAATTCATAAGAAAACAACAATGACGTCACATTATTGCATTATACTCAGTCATGCATGTACATTAAAGCATTTCAAAGAACGGCTTTCGTCGAGCTGCCACAGTGGCCTAGTGGATAGGGGAATGAACCATGGATCGCAAGATCTGTGGTTCGAACCCATGTTCATTTTCATCAAATATTTTTGTTGGTTGGGATAAGTTTAATTGAAGGGAAAACACTACGAGAAGGCCAAAAAAACGTTTTCAGTTTCTGGTATGGAGCTTGCCCCAAAAGTGGTGCGGCGACGCGGCTTTTATGTTGTTTTTGTTTTACTTTTTTTCTTCAAATGTCGGCTGATGCCTGCAAATGGTGCCTGACTGAATTTAGTGCAAAAAAAATGGGAGCCCAGAGAGGCCACAAAAAGCTTATACTCGATCGTTACCCCATCTAAAAACACGTTAAAATTGTGCAGCAGCAGGATTCCAGTCAAACCAGTGAGTTTGGCGGTTTTGAGACATCATCTTACATTGAAAAAAGACTTTTTAATTTTGCCAAAGCGCATGGCTACGGCGACGCGCGCGCATACCAGAAACCGGAGCCTTTTTTGGCCTAAGTGTCTTCCATCCACACAGCGTGATAAATATGGTGCGTGATGTGATTGGTTAGAATAAGATGTACTTGCTGCTAAACAAATATGCCTCCTGAATGGGCTAAGTCCGGCCCATTGTGCAGGGCCATATTCATGAAAAGACTTCCAGTGAATAGCCATTCTAAAGCAATTGAATAGAATTTGTCGCACTCTGGGCCCAGCTTTATTAGACTTGTCTTGTTTTAGCACCAAAAAAAAAGTCTCCGGTTTCTGGTATGCGCGCGCGTCGCCGTAGCCATGTGCGTCGGCAAAATGAAAACTTTTTTTTTCAATGAAAGATGATGTCTCAAAACCGCCAAACTCACTGGTTTGACTGGAATCCTGCTGCTGCACAATTTCAACGTGTTTTTGGATTGGGTGATGGTCGAGAATAAGCTTTATGTGGCCTCTCTGGACTCCCATATATTTGCACTAAGTTTAGTCGGGCACCATTTGCAGTCATCAGCCGACATTTGAAGCAAAAAAATCAGGTAAAAAAAAAAAAAAGCCGCGTCGCCGCACCACTTTTTGGGCAAGCTCCATACCAGAAACCGGAGACTTTTTTTGTGGCCTTATTGACAGCTAAAAATATTCACAAAAAGACGTGAGAATAATTCCCCTCTCCCTTTATATTATTTATCAAAATGTCATGTGCCGAATGTATCATGTATCGGTATTTCACTGGATATATACTTTTCCGGCCTAAATATAAAATCTGAGCAAAAGCACCGGTTTCATGCAGGTTTATCCTTAGGTCAATGCGCCGGCATATCCAGTGTGAACCAGAAAAGGTCAGGCGCCATTTAGAAAAGGAACGAAGAGCCCCCGGAACCCCATCTTCTTCACTCCTCTTTTGTTTTGCTAGTCGCCATCGACCGGGTTCGAATTAAGTTGCGAAATTGATGAAATAATTCGGTAAAAGAAAACTGCGGAAGTCACTCACTCTCGAATCAATCCTCTCCCCGCTTGCTAAACCGACTTTCTGTTTGGATTCCCGGGGGGAAGAGCTGCGGCCAATCTTCATGGCCGGCTCGAGCAGCTAGAGCGCAGCATCCAGCGCAGCGCGCGAACCCGAATCTTATCTCGTTGAAGCTGATATATTTTTTTCAAGCTCCCTTTTTCCCGCGGGTGCATAGGCGAGCGCTCGCGTTTCGAGTGGGGGTGTATTTGCACGTGAGAACCCTATCGATTTCCAATGACGATGCCGCGGCGTTTTCGCGACTCGGACCGGTCGGGGTACGGTTTCAGCGGCCAGTCGATACTTGTATAGCTGTCAAATCGGGTTTGGCCGCTGAAACTGATGCAAATTTTTTTCACGCCGGGAACTAAAAAAAGGAGAAGAATAAAAAGAAAAAAATACAGAAAAAGATAAAGAAGATCTGGAGGGAGAGCGAGAATGACCGATAATTATTATAGCGGGGAACTTTCCGGGGGAAGAGCTGAAATTTGAAGCCGTATATCGGCTGTTTGCGCCGGATTTTATTAGCGGGCAGGATTGTTTCGGGAAGTTTATCAGATTGATACCTTATTTCGTCCCCCGCGGGCGTATACGCGTGTAAAGTTAGCCCTTTTTTGTTAGCGCCCGCTGGAAGAATTATTGAATTAATCGAAAATATCGTGTTAGCCTTTGAAAACAAAATCACCCCTTTTGTGCCCAAATCGAATTACGGGAGCCGGCGCGTTTCTTTTCTTTTTTGCGGCCCGTGGATTTTTTTTTCTGAACAAAATGTTTTTAAGTTTAACTGATTGTTACGGCATGCGTGATATTTTCTGTACCAGATGTATGGGTTTTGTCCACTTGTTTTTCCATGCATTGTGAAGGTGAATGGACGATGAAAATGACAGGTTTTTGAGTATACACTCTTACAGAACAGGGATCGGATTTTATGAGAAACAGGTAAACGTGACAAGTTTGTAAAAGTTTCTTTTTGAGGGTCGAATCCGGATAGTTTTAATCGGGCGGAAAAACAATGTATTGCGGGTCGGCATCTAGTCGATAGCTAGAAGGATAATGGTTTGTTTTTGCATTCAACCGGGGACGTTGAACAATACAGGACAATAGGGTCCACAATTCCCGAAGGTCCACAATCGACGATCGTGTTCAAAACATGGGAGGTCTTCCTAAAAAGTTCAAGTACAAACAAAAGAGGGACAATAGGGGGTCCACGATTAAAGGTGTTTGCACACTTGGCTGCGTGCTGCGTTTCCTGCTATGACAAGATAAAAAGTTGTTCTCAAGAACTCGAAAAATTAGTCAGTAGTTTGACTTGAAACTTGGACAGTGTATTGTTCCTACCTATGGTTTAGGAAGAAGCTCAATTGCAGCTACTTATCTAATAATCTAAAATTGTGAAGCATGTTTGCTATATGCAGAACACTCTGGAACTCCTTACCAGACGAGTTAAGGGCAATACAGGAATCGTCTCTCTTCACACACCATCTCAAAACCCACTTCTACAATCAGTTTCTCTCTCACACATAATGACCTTTACCTTCACATACATTGACTTTTAACTGACCGGCGCCTTTAAATGACAACTATTTTCAGATACTGTGCGCCTTAACAAATGCTTTGTAATTATTATTCAACATGTTGTCTTTTCTTGTCTTTTGTGCAGGTGAGGGCAGCTGGCTGATTGACTCTTTAAGAGGTGCAGCTCTGAGGGTAGGGGCAGGGCCAGTCCACGGCCTCCCCCACCACCTGATGGAAGCGGCCTGCCGCAACTCCGGTAACCCCCACCAGCACCTGATGGCTCCCCACCTCCAGCCCAGCCCCTTGGATCTCCTGTGTCTCATGCAGAGGCAGGCTGGAGGGCCGGGCCACCACGCCGGTCTGCCCGGGCCCGGGGGCATGTTCCGCCCGCCCGTGGCCGCCTTCCAGCCCGGGCCCTTCCTCCGGATGGACCACCCGGCGGGACTGCTCCCCGGGTTTCTCCCGTCCGTGTCTCTACCACCAAACTGCACCTGGAATCGGATGAGGTTCGTGCACGGGATGGGCTCACCACCACCACCAGCACCGCCGGGCCCTCCCCATCCACCCCCGCCTGCTGCTGCTGCTGCCGCCGCCGCGGCTGCCGCTGCTTCGGCTGCCGGAAGCGTTCAGGAAGGTACCGGACAGTGCAGCTCTAGCATCGAGAGTTTACGCATGAGGGCCAGACAACATGCAGCAGCTATAGGGTTTAACCACATGTGCTGATGAGATTATAATATAGTTTTGAAAGACTTTCAGTGACGGGTCTACAAGTAGAGTTGTTACCATATCCCTATAAGTCATCAGAAATCACCATAAGTCGTCACAAGTCATAGTCATAACAGGTGAAAGTCATCACAAATCACTATAAGTCATCACAAGTCGCCATAAGACATGACAAGTCCCTATAAGTCATCACGAGTCAAAGTCGTCACAAGACACCATAAGTCATCACAATTCAAAGTCGTTACAAGTCACCATAAGTCATCACAAGTCAAAGTCATCACAAGTCACCATACGCCATCACAAGTCAAAGTCATCACAAGTCGCCCTAAGTCATCACAAGTCACCATAAGACATCACAAGTCGCCATAAGACATCACAAGTCGCCATAAGACATCACAAGTCAAAGTCATCACAAGTCAAAGTCATCACAAGTCAAAGTCATCTCATGTCCAAGTCATCACAAGTCATCACAACTCAAAGTTATCACAAGTCATTATTTGACATAAATGAGTCATCCTAAGCCATCACAAGTCAATATAAGACATCGCAGGTCACCAAAAGTCATGATAAGTAGCACCATGCATAAGTCAACACAAGTATATCACAAACCATTCACTCTCACAAGTTTTCCCGTCTGATATCAAGTGGCAAGCCATTCAAATGAGCCACAACGAATGTGTCATCCTCTGCCAAGGTTTATCCCATTTAACATGCACTTGTGAACTGACTTACGACTTGGTTTGTGACTGACTAGATTCCAACCTTGCGACTTAGTAAACTGTTGGACGCTCTTATAACCTTAACTGAACTTGGGTTAACATGTCTACTTGGGCCAAAACTTGGTATGGTGGCTTTTTAAGTAAACGAAATTGGAGTCAGATAAGTCAGATCGGACTGTCATTGACGTAATTGGGTTCATTCCAACGTGGGCCTGTATCCCGAAAGGCGATACAAGTTGTAAAAACAAGGGGTAAATAAATCAGCACTGGCGAAGTAATGGAATTGTTTCAGGGAATTCTGTCAGTTTTGTATATATAAAAAGAATGTTATAACGCTGGCCTATTTAACACCACGTTTTACGTTTCTTGTATATCTAATTCTTTTTTTCAGCGTGTTGTATTTTGAAGAGACGTCCATGATTATGCACACTACCATATTTTTGTTAGTAGTTTCTTGTGTCCTGCGTCTTGTTCTACATAGAAATTGATCACACTTTGATTTTCAGCTTCTTGCCTAATCACTCAGTTGAATGCCTTGTCTGTCACTCATGTTATCAACTGAAAACAGACATTAATTTTTTTTTTCACAAGTGAAAACAACTTTTATGTATGTATTCTCTGGGTGTACACTTCTCGCCTTGTGTAACAGATCCCGAACTTTTTTTGTCAGGACCTTTAAACAAATAATTTGCTGATGTGAACAGAAAATTAATGTTTAATGACTCTGTCTAAAGGAATTTAATGCATGTACATACAAGACGATAAAGGAACGATAATAGAATGATTTTCTGAAGGACTTTAAACACTGACGTGTATTTCTGTGAGGACACATTGCTCTCTGTACGCCAGGACTTTACACATTTACAATTGTTGGTCATTCTAAACTAAATTTGAATGAAATTATCACCACCATGTATATTCTCTGTAAAGTGCACTTTTTCCTCATTAAATTAAAAACATTAAGACAACATTTGCTGTGTCTTTGTGCCTTAATGACGGATGTTCTCGAGCTGAAAAGCATGCAAACTGTTTACAAAAAGCAGCATGTAGAGTTATTCACTAGAAAGATGAAGATGGTTATCTACGGAGAAGGGGGAAATCTGACATTGTGACAATTAAAAAAAAAAGTATCTATCAACACATAAATCGACTGTGTGCCTATCTAATAATAAATCTCGTCAAATATTGGAACAACGGGTTGTAGCCAACCTCCTGCACGGGGCAGCACCGCCCAGTCGCCCCATCTGCCACAGGCTGGTAGACCCATCTTTACCGGACTCGTCGCATTCTCTTGCTCGGAGTAGCAATATGCCTCGTAACCGCAAGCTGCGGTCCCAATCTACAATCAAGCCAAGAACCATTCCTTGGTTCCGGCAGCATCACCAGGCCATGCACGTAAACGCCTCGTCGGCCGCTGCCATACGCGTCGCTACCATCACCGCGGGCCTAGTGGGCCGGGCGCATCGCGGGCCGGGCCTGGGCGAACCCCGGTAACACGTCCCCCTAGAGACCCCCTGCCTACATGCCCACAACAAATATATCCTCGACAAGCCCTCGCTTTTGCTTAATCATCTAATTCGTTCGGTCAGCGGGTGGCTGCTTTGACTGACTGTTTAAGTCTGAATCGCTCCAATCATTTCCCATTACGTTGATTTTTTTTCCTTCTTCCTTCTCTCATCTCTTCTTCTCTCTCATCTTTGCCACCAGTCTGAGGGAGGAGGGGGGGGGGGGGGGGGGTTGGGACCCGGAGGCCACAATTTACCAAGTGATGTTTTGACAACAAAAGTCTAATGCACATAACCAAACGGTTGGTATTATCCGAGAATTGTCCGCCGCAATTTTCTTATCTGAACAATGAAATAATTCACGCGTGCTGTAAAGTCACCATCAAGATGATGGATTTAACGAAAAAAATCTCGAGATTTTTTTTGTTGCTCCTTCTGCACGGAGCGCTGAGAAATACAAGAGGCAAAATAAGAACTCATGTGGTTTGCTTTCACGACTACAATTTTCTCTGATCAAGGGAAACGCAGCCTTCTCATCACCACTGAATGTTCATGCTGGTATTTTTTAAAAAGAAAATTGAGAAAAAAATTGTGCATGCAGTCTGAATCAAACAAAAATACACCCGTTAGACGGTACCTTTATCCTCAAGTATTAAACGCCAACACTCCACGTGTCTTTAGGCTATCTACCGCAGTCAATCGTCGACATTTTAAACTAGCAACCCTAACCCCTAGGGCCTTTTGGCTAGGAACCAGCCTCAATCCTGCAAAATCCTCCAACTGCCACCACGTAAAAATTGGATTCAGTCTCACCCCTCCGAAATCATCCGTTATTTCTTGAATTTGTTCAGTGGAGGGGTGACCATTGCCTCAATCCTTCAAAATCATCCAACAATCGCTGTTAATGGGTTGAGGCAGTGCTGATGACATTCAGAAGCAGTGCGGATGATATCGAGCATACTGCAGGGCTCAATTATGCATGACTGAACATAAACAATGCTGGGTACAGCCTACGAACTCGACACAATGCATCCTCAAAAATCAACCGACACTTTTCTTGCCATTTACCCTCAATCCTCCAAAAAACCGCCTGTTATTGAGGATTGAGGAGGGTTTGAAAATGTTTGGCATGCTTTCAACAAAAACAAAAGAAAAAACAAGATAAAAGACACAAGACCGAGAACCAGAAAAAGATCGTCTTAAGACATCCAGCGTTCCTTTCAAGACTTTGCCTCATTCCTTTTGCCTCCAAGATGTTGACGAGGACAGTTGTGAGGGTGTGGCTGTACTCATTTTCACAATTAGTTAAACAGTATATACGTTGCATATCCAGGCAACAAAGACGAGCAACGGACAAAAGACCAAGAGTCAGAAATGGATTATCTCGAAGACAGCCAGCGTTCCTATAGAGACTTTTGTCTCATCCTTTTTTACCTCCAAGATGTTGACGAGGACAATTATGAGGGTGTTGCTGTACTTTCCTCTTGTCATCCTCAAGAAAGCCCCCGGCGACGTGACGTCTCGTGCCCGCTCCCCCTCACCTCATCCATTCCCCCTCTAGCCAAACCTGATGTGATTAAACTTGCATCATGCTGTTTGGCGTAAGTTAAACATAGGGCTTGTGCCACTTAACTGCTCGAGGTTGTTACGCTCAGACCGTTTCCCCCCCCTCTTCTTATTTTTTTTTTCTCCCTCGCAAAACCACTTTGGCTCGTCACTTAACTAACCAATACCTGCCGGGGCTTTGAAAACGATTACCGCACCCTACAAGTGATTACCGGCCGCCAGCTATTTGTCCAAATCAAAATAAAAGAGGGGGGTGAGCTCCGTGTAGAAACAATCGGAATATCGCTCAGAAACACGTTGGAGATTATAGACCAAAAAAAAGGAAGAGGAGGCACAAAAAATACAATTAAATCTACCCCGTTGGTGTCACGATCAGGGAAAGGGTATAAACTCGGCCTAAAAGTATGGGTTCTCTGTGTCTATTGAAAAGACGAATGGACCGGGAGGAAAAAAATAAATCATGTTTGAACACCGAAATCCAATTTGGAATTAACGGCGTTCAACCAGCAGCTACCAACGTTTAGCGGACAAGCTTGAGACCAGCGGCCGATGGGGGTTTTAGACCGGACGCCTATTTCACGCCGGGCATTGTTCAGGGCGCTCACGGTGTATATACACGGTATATCTCATCCAGAAAACCAGATCTGGCTTTTTTCTTTACACCAATTACGCATGAAAAGAAAATTCGCCCAAATTAAGAAGTTCCCACCCTTCCAACAACTCCATCTTTTCTTCTTCATCTTCACTCACTCCTCACCCGTGTTATCCAGCCGAGGACATAATAGAAGGGGACCCTCCAAGGGAAAGGACGATTTAAATCGATTATCTTTTTCGAAGAGGGAGAGTAATCTAATCTATTTTTTTCTCTCACTCCCCACAAGTTAAAGGTAATGAAATTAAGGGCTGGCTCTTGTTAGAAGAGAAGCCCCGATGCCTACTTCGGTTTCACGGTCTCATGCGTATAGCGGGGGGACGAGTCCTGCCTGGTCGCTTTACTGCCGTTTTATGAGTCATTTTAGAAAAAATCCTAGTCCAGTCGGGCTAGCTGCGGTCGAAGCATTAAAGGAGGCAAGTAGATAGAAAGACTCCTGTCTCTTCCAATGTGGTTTCATTCACGCAATTTATGGATTTTTAACCAAATTGTAAACGAAATTAGAAGTCATCCCTACATTTTTTTTCGCAGTCATTTCGAAATTCTAACACAAAGCCCTTCGCAGATTTTCTCCATATCAAATATGACCCACCGTGTATAGTTCTAAAAATCAATGATCGTATTTTGTTCCTTGGTTGAAATCGTGTAGTTACAATGTTACAAAATTGCGTGGATTCAACAGTCCGTGGTATTTTTGTATGATGCTGTAAGCTTATACTGCTTCTATAACGCATAAGCCTCCACAACTTGGGCTAAGTTCACCTTGACCTTCCTTCTTCGGACCACGGGGTCCATAAGGCTGCAGTGTACTCTGTTCACTTGCTTGACTTCA